TAAAGCTTATTTATTTCCAGAAAATCATTTTTTCATACCGATTTTTAAAAAGCTGTACTTTTTCTATTTTTTGAGGTGGGTTAATAAATACTGTGTATCTATTCTCATTTGGTTATTCATGGTTAAACTTATGCTACATATTTGTGAAACACTCGATATAAAAATGTGGTTTCGCTGTTGTGATTTGACAACAACCTGGAAAGGGCTATTGTACCTTGCAATTTGATGAAAGTAGTTCAAAGTTTAACTACACCGTAATTCTAGCCATAGTAATAATAATCCTGATACTCAACCAGGTCGAATATTTCGTAACGGGAGCTAAAGAGGTTTCGCACCGTTGGTCTTGTCGAGATAAAATACCCGACAATCGATAGTCCCTGGCCATGAATCTCTGATCTCTAGAGACAAGTGTTATCATAAGAATCTCGTAAATTTTTTGTTCAATGAAAATTCTCATTTTGCAGAAACTGCAACAATGTAATGGAATTGTTTCTAATGCAAAAAACCGGAGTCTTATCCTAGTAACACAAGCGTCGTAAAAGTTTCCAAACTTTATTATTCTTTGTAATGAATTTTAACTAGGTGTAGCCGCATTGCTATACGACTGTTGAACAATTTATTTAAACTGTAATACGAAATTGACTAAATCGAATGGTTTAACGATCAAGAAAACAAATAGGTTTAGTCCTCTTGGTCGTTTAAATAATTGAGTGAAACCACAAACCGACATCGAGTAACATGAGTAAGATGTCTTTGTTTGGTCGTATTATGTTACTAGTGTTAACAAATTTGCGTCGAAGAAACGGTGACAAGTCGTGGGATGGCTCACTTCRCTCGTTCGTCTAATTTTATACCCATTTATAAACATGAACATAAAGCAACAACTCCAGATGTTTATAGTCCCTGKATATCACCTTCATATTTCTACCACKTTTTTCTTACCCTGGCTCGCCGCCTGCTTCCATATTGTTAGCCAACGTGACATCATTCGACCACACGTCATACTGCCATTTCCGGAGCCCCAGGACTCCGCATAGCACCCGTCCCGAATGAATGCCCACTCGCATGTTTAGTTGCACGTCTGTGGCTTCAACGACGCTGGCGATGGCGTCGATCATGTCCAAACCCATTTCAACAGTACAATGAGCGTGATCTGAACGCGGTTCCGGTAAACCAGACACGCAATAATAGCAGTCTCCCAGAATTTTGATGCGCAAACAGTGGTTATCCTGGAAAAAAGGGAAAAATACAGTCGCCGATATCACCTCGACATGTCAAGAACGCTGCTGAAGATCAACCCAAATGCCATTAAAGCGGATCGGAAGAGCCACTTTATATAAATTTCCCCCTGTTTTCCGCGAACTATATGGCGGAATGTAAAACAGGTCGGGGGCGAATTTACATAAATAAAATGCTGGTACAAAGGAAAATGATCGGAGAAAGAAAAATTAAGTTTAAAACTATATTTAAAAAATATAAATATATTTATTCTCTCGAGAATTCGCTTTAAAAACAAACGTAACTTTGATCAAAAGTGCAATAAAATCCCGTCTCGACTTGAATTATAAATATTTAAATTTAGTTTCATATTATAAAAACGAATGCAAATTACACAAGTAGGTATATCTAGAAGTCACATTACGTCAATTAAGTTAAGTATTTTCCCGTTATCCTTGAAAATTAATCTTCTCACACAAAAAATGACACAATTTTTATGAATTTGTTATTCAGTGAGTCAGTAGTGATCACATCTTCTATTACTTCTTAATTGTAAATAAGTCAAACTTAAATAAAGTGTTTCAAAAAAAGTTGCAAATACATAATATCATGTTGTTTCCTTTTCATGTTATTCATATTCACATAATTATACAAAAAAAA